TTGAACGTGAGTCACTCAAACGTCACTAGTGGGCGGAGGCGTGGAGCCAACTGTAGCATGCAGGCAGCCCCCCCACTCTGAGTGACAACCAGTGGCAAAGCCCTGAATGTTTTTTCTGTAGCCCCGGACAATTCTCCCTCAATAATATAATACATTAACTGTGCTTTACCTGAACCTCATCATGACACTAGAGAGGACGGCAGGATTGTAATTTCCCGTGTTCAGTGAATGCAACAGAGGCAAGACACCTGACCAACCAGAGAGTTGAATGGAAATATGTCTTATTGGCTGACAGGTACCTATCCTGTGAGCTGTGACAATGTTTAAACTGTCAGTCAGACTCTGAGTTTTTGAAGATGGACATAAGAAAAACATTTCTTAAAAATTACGACAATTCTCAAGTGGTGGCTCACACAACAACCCCAGAGCCACCACTTGAGCCAGGTAAACAAGGTATGTAAATATCAGTAAACTTCCAAGTTATGCAAACATGTAAGCAAAGCATAAATTACAGCTCCGTTGACGTTACTTTGAATCACGGGGGTAAGCTAAACCGTTAGCAAGTAGCTATAGCTAGCCAGATATATTAAATAAACATTTTGTCATACAATCTAAATGTTATGTTTTTTAGCGTTACCTGGTGATTTCAAAGAAAGCTCTCTGGAAAATGTTGACTGACATGAAGCTAGAATCTACCTTACAGTTGATCCTGTCTATGGCAAGCCATTTGAGTATGTATTCCATATCCTTGATATCAGACGGCAGCTGCCTACACTAGTTGGCTCTTTGATTGCACTTGTTAGATATATGGTCACAATAGTTTGGCACTCTGCTTTACTAGTTAAATAAAACATTATACTAGTCACTCTTTTTCAGCAACCAGTGGCACTTTTGTCTGACTAGTTACCACATATGCCTTACTAGTGACGCCAGGAGCTAGTGAGATACATTGAAATTCAACTAGTGAACTAAGTGAGGTTTAAAATGTCCACTAGTAGTACTAGTGGATCCCAAATGCGCACTAGTCACACTAGTTGCACAGAATGCGGAGGAGGGGGAAAGAATGCATCGAGGTCTCCTATTGGCCCTAAACTATAGAGCGACACCCAGCCCAAATAGTTTCTTTAAGAGCTTAAAGGTGGGGTAGGTAATTTTGGAGAAACCAGCTGGAGTGTGCTAGAATTTGAAAATACACAGCCGGAACAAATCTGCCACTTCCTTACAGAGCCCCTCCTCCAACACACACGAACGCGCACATGACCAATGAGGGCACGAGATAAGTTTGTGCCCAGATGGAAGGCTGATAGGCAGGTAGGCCTTCCAGTTATTTTAGCCGGGCCGGCTCAGATGATTGGTCGTGCTTTTTACAGTATTACGGCTTCCACAGATGACATTTTTTTATGGATTTTTTGTCAAAGCACTTTGCTTTCGGGATGTTAAGAGCATTCCATGGAATATAACAAAAAGTGTATCTCGAGCCGGTTTCTCAAACTTACCTACCCCACCTTTAAATACACTGTGTTTTAAAATACAGTCATATGAAAATATTTACAAAAATATAAAACAAAAGTATTTTTGTAATTATGATCATATGACTGTATATCAAATTAGGTAAGAACATTGAAGACTTTGTTCAAATGTGAAAGTTGCCTTAGGACTGCAGACAGGAATATAGATCCTGTTTAAAACCTTTTATTAAGCTGCCATTTGAAAGGTGCTTGTATTAGAATAGCACTGTGATAACAGAGGGACATTATTAGTGATGGATAGAAATATGGAATAACCCTCTTCGGATCACAGCTTTCCTGAGAGGCTGAGAGATCGCCGTGACCTCTGTAAATATTAGTCTAAGGCAAATTTGGAGAGGTTGTTTATCTTCATAGTGCACATTTGGGACCCACTAGTACTACTAGTGAACATTTTAACCCTCACTAGTTCACTAGTGGAATTTAAATGTATCTCACTAGTTAACTAGTAAAGGGTTCACTAGTTAACGTGTAGACATTTTGAGCCCCACTAGTTAACTAGTAAGGTCAAAACAGGTGTCAACTAGTTAACTAGTGACATTTTGCCTTTATTAGTTAACTAGTGAGTGATTCTGAGTGCTACTAGTTAACTAGTGCAGAAAAATGTATGCCACTAGTTAACTAGTTCTGCTTCTTTTTTGTAACTAGTTAACATGTCAGAGCTTTTGCAGCGCACTAGTTAACTTGTAAGACTTTTAGTGTCACTAGTACGGTCAGAAGGTCACTAGTTCATCAAAAAGCTTACATGTTGATACTTTGGTGCTACGGGTGCTGCTCCTGGCGTCACTAATAAGGCTTATGTGGTAACTAGTCGGACAAAAGTGCCACTAGTTGCTGAAAAAGAGTGACTAGTATAATGTTTTATTGAACTAGTAAAGCAGAGTGCCAAACTAGTGTGACCATATATCTAACAAGTGAAATCAAAGAGCCAACTAGTGTAGGCAGCTGTCGTCTGATATCAAGGATATGGAATAAATACTCAAATGGCTTGCCATACCTGTCAGTTAGTGTTTCATAGTTAGCTTAGCTAAGCATCAACCTAGCACTGAAATATATGGATGTTATGTGACCATGGGCGTCGCAGCCATTATATGAGGGTGGGACAAGTCCCCCCCACCTTTTAAAATGATTAGTTTAGACCCCCCCACTTTTACTATGCGGAAAGTCCGTGAATCGGTCTATCCACTCGCCACTCTTTGTAGAGCGCTGTGTCAGTGCTTCATTATCAAATCCATTCCACTTGCTTATTGAGAGAATGCCCAAATCAATGATATTCCGTGCCATGTTTTCACTGCTACTTTGTACCAATGGCGCAGATTCTCAGAGCCATACACATGAGCCGTACACATGCTGCGTTTTTTGTGTAGCTGTGTCTTTAGTTGTAAAATCATTTCCACGCTGCGAGGCTCCGGTGCTAACAGTTCACGAGCGTGCTCCACTAGCACCCGGATATAAGGCGCTGTTATTAAAGAGGTGGAGGGAGAGTCCTCTCCTGTCAGACTGAGAGGCTGATAACTACAGCTCAGTGAGGTAAAGGACTCTCTGAGAGGTGGAGGGAGAGTCCTCTCCTGTCAGACTGAGAGGCTGATAACTACAGCTCAGTGAGGTAAAGGACTCTCTGAGAGGTGGAGGGAGAGTCCTCTCCTGTCAGACTGAGAGGCTGATAACTACAGCTCAATGAGGGAAAGGACTCTCTGAGGATTTAGATCAGGGGTCGGCAACCCCTGGCACGCGTGCCAGCATTGGCACGCGGCACCGTAACCAGTGGCACCCTAGGAATAAGTGGAATAAGTGTGCAAAATATTTAAATTGTATTTTCGGATCCTGAACGAGACCGCCGCCAGAGCGCGTCTCCCCGCACGCAGCGCAGCCCCGCTCTCTTTAACTCCAGGTGACTTTCTGCCGCTTTCCTCCGTGGTGCAGGGCTGATCGTTTCACCACAGAGGAAAGCACTTCACAAATTGCAGTACCCATAAGGAGCTTTACAAATGCCGCAGTTTTTGCGTGGCTGTGTCTTTAGTTGAAAGACCAGTGGCGATCTGCTCATCTCTCATTGAAATAATATGCTACAAAGGGGCGGACTGGCCATCTGTGTGTTGAACTTTCCTGTCGGCTCCCAGACCGTAGTCGAGGAGGGCAGAAGCAACAAGCTTCAGGTTCAATAACCCACTTTAGCTTAAATGACTGGAGAGAGGCGAGCTCTTCTTGGGAGGCCGTTGCATTTATTTAGCTGTTCTTCTGTTTCACAAAATACATCACAGACCTGTTTTTCTGCTGCCTCGTTTCACTTCCAGAAACATACACACGCTCGCTCACTCTCGCTCTACCATCCACACACACACATGCACACGCCACACCCCTCTCTCTCTCTCTTAAAGGGACAGCAATCTCATCTCACTCTGCATGACCCTAATATCATAACATGTGTGTTCTGGAGAATCACAGAACGGACGATCGTCCTTATTATTATGCCGTTTAAACCAGGTCCACACACTGCTTCCCCGCAGCGAGGCCCCCCCGCCCTCCTGTTGATAGTTCATGAGCGTCAAGCTCCTCAACCCCCCCCCCCCCGTTGATAATTCTCGATCGTTGGCACGCTGATAACAATCTTTTTTTTTAATGGCACTTCATATCAAAAAGGTTGCCGACCCCTGGTTTAGATAGTTCACTTTAGTCTAAGCAGTGGGTCTCAAACGGTTTGGTAATCATTTATGTAAATAAGTATTTCCAAGGCATACCTTTATATGATCATTAATAATAGTTATAAAAAATAAGAGAATAACAGGTATGAAATAATTCCAACTCATACTATAGGACAGTAAAACAAAAATACAGTTTAAAAGGGGAGTGATTTGTAAAATATGCATAAAGAAAAAGTAAATCTGTTTACAGTTCTGTTTCATATGGGTGTTGTTGAGAGATGTATCCATAGATTTAGTCCCTAAATTTGCTCTGAAAGTGCACCAGATTGATGCTTTTAACTTCATATTTAAAAAAAAAATCTTCCCAGGGGAGCTTGCTCCCGGACCCCCCTAGAGGAGGTGAAGTCCACCCCCCAATTATAAAAAATTGCACTTTACCCCTGCTTACACCTATATGCCGTGAGATGATCACGAGCCTTCATTGTAAGAGTCGCGGGTACACTGTGTGTGTGCGTGTGGGGAGTGTTGCAATAGAAAATTCAACTGTAGCGCCCGGTACCTTAATGGGAAACCCTACATGTTTGAGCACCCTCTATGAAACGTCAAGCACCCCCAAAAGAAAATCTCTGGCGCCGCAACTGTGGGCTAAGCCCCTGTTTGTTTCCAGGTCCAGGAAACGCCCCTGGTGACAACACTGAAGAATCACACATCTGTAGCTGAGGATCGCCTTCTGTCTGTTTCTGTTTCTGTGTAGCAGCTATGACAGCCTCCAACAGCGGCCAGCACCACCCACCTGCCGTCTCCTCCACCCCCCCAGCCTGCGGTAGACTCGGCGCATTGCTGTGAGCCCGCTGTTTCTCCGGTGTTGTTTTGGACCCGCAGTGACCATCGGCTGCAGGAAGTAGTCGGGCCCCGCTTGTCCTCGGGCTGCAGGGAGATTACAGGCATGCCATCCGTCTCCACTGGAAACACCGCTGCCTGCTCCCACACCATGCTCAGCACCTGAAGGAACCACAGCTGCTGCAATGGACACTTCGGGGAGCGATGCTGCGTTCACATACTTCGGGAAAGCTGAGGAAAGGTTTTATGATCTGGAGCATCTGCCTCCACTGCTGGAGGACGAGGTGAGGCGAGGCTGTTTGAGATAATAGCGTATAGAAAATTGTTTCTTGTGTTTTATGTTTAAAAGGTAACTCAACAGGTGTTAGAATAGGCTACACCTCAATACACACCTTATGTTTCTATGGTATTCAGAGGAGGAAGTACTCAGATCTTTATTTAAAGTAGAACTAGCCCACTGTGGACTTAAAATACTCTATTACAGGAAAAATGCTGAATTCAAATGTTACCTAAATAGAAGTAGGCTACAGTTCGTATTATCAACAAAAAGGAAAGTAGAACGGCTCTGTTATGGCATTTATTTGGTCTCTTTTTATCATAACAAACAATGGATGTCATTTTTTGTTGTTGAATTCATTATAAAAAAAATGAATGTCAACAAATGTAAGCATTGTATGTCAATGTGGATTATAACGCTTGGTAGATTGTTAGTAGGCCTACAGTTTCATATCATATGCATGTGTTTTACATTTTTATATGTAAATAGTAACTATGAGTATTATCTAAACTAAAGTAAATTATTGGCGTCTGAAATGTGGTGCAGTAGACGTGTAGCATTTAATGAAAAATAATGTAGCCTACTATAAGTTTGTCAAAATAGTACTAAGTAGTAGGCCTACTCGGTAAATGTACTATGTTATGCACAACTGGTGGTATTACATTACTGTAACTAAGTTTAAGTTAGATAATGTGAGGCCACTGAGGATTGTTTTCCTCCTTCAGGAACAATGATTCAATCTGCAAAGTGATTCTTTCAGTTTGAATTATTCAAATGTTAGATTTTAGGACTAAATTATCAAGACTGGAGCAATTGTGTTCATGTCTGCACCAAATCTGGAGAGGCTCCAAGATGATTATTTAAGTAGAGCAGAAGAAAGATTCTGCTACATGTCTTTGCTTTTTTTGGTGAAATAGTCGATAATTAAACAGCTATCTTGATACCATCTGAGACATTTAAAGAGGACAATATGATACTCCTTTTCAGTTTCATATTTGTTTTTAGTGTCTATACTGTGACATGTCTCCATGCTTTAATGTTCAAAAAGCTCTTTATTTTTCTCATACTGCCTGCATCACCTCTTTTCACCCTCTGTCTTAAACCTGAGCCCAGTCTGTTCTGATTGGTTAGCTGGCCGGCTCTGTTGTGATTGGTCAACCGCTTAGAGATGTCCCGCCCCTTAGCCTACCACTTACAATGGGTAATAGCCGTTGCCAATAGAAGTGTCAGTGTTACGTAGTTATGATACTATGTTACAGAAGTAAACAAAGGAGTCCAATGGAGGCGTTTCAGGCAGGGGGGGGGGGGAGAGAAACTCCCTCTGGAAGGAACACAGGGATTTTAGCCTTTGCAGACCATTTACATGCACACAAACCTATAGAATACACTACAGGAGAGGGAAAACCATTAATTAAAAGAATAATAGGGCCTCTTTAAGTCCTTCTTTATTGTGACTTCTTACAACTCGTAGAGGTCTAACGTGTTCAAATTCAATTAATATTTGTATTATATTTTTTACAAGACGGTCACAACAAGAAAAACAGCAGCACACTACTAGGACAATGTTTACGCACAAACAAGAAAAGTGGGGTGCAGTGTTTCCCCTAGGATGGAATCATAGCAGCGGTGCTAAGGCACGCGGGCCCAGCAAAATGTGAGAACAGCTTTTAGTGTGTGCGCGTGCGAAGTGCGCCCTGCCAATATGTTTCTATGTGTTTGCCAGCACAAAAAAGGCTCTTGAGGCCTAGTGCCAGAGCCGGACTGGGACAATAAATCAGGCCGGGAATTATATACCCAGCCAGGCCACTACCAGTTTTGTTTTGTGCCATTTTGCTGGATTTATTTGTGAATATTTACAGCGTTGCTGCCCATAGTGATAGCCCTATAGTTTAAATATACTACCCAATAATAAACATATGGACAGGGGTTACTATTTTAAAAAATGTGCAAATGTTTTGGGAACCTATCCATGTGAACATATTTTGGGGGTGGACCTCAAATCGTCTAGGGGTGTCCGGGGCCATGCCCCCCCGGTAAGATTATTTTTTTACATTTTGGAGTTAAATGCATCAATCTGGTGCATTTTGAGGGGAAAATAAAGAGACTAGAACTATGGAAACACCCATATGAAACAGAACTGTATACATTTAAATAATCATAAAATCATAAGAACATGGCCATAACCAATAACATACCATAGCCAATATAAAACAAAATTGAAAGTTGTTTATTTATTTATTTTTGGTTCATTTATAGTTGTGAGTGTGTCTGGGCTCCTGAATCAGCCTCTCCTGTCTCCCCCCTCTCCCCCCTTCTCCTCTTTGAGGCAGCAGCAAAGACAAGTTTTAGCTCTCAACAAGTTTTTAAAGTTTATCTTACCTTTTTTCACCTATTTAACATTTTCTTTCTTTTTATTCATGCATATTTTTCTGATCACTCCCCCCTCAAATGGAAATATGTGTTTACATAAATGGTGACCAAACCGTTTGAGACCTACTGAGATAATTTAGACTAAGTTAACTATCTAAACACTCAGAGAGTCCTTAACTTCACCTGAGCTGTTTATCTCTCTCAGTCTCACAGCAGAGGACTCTCCCTCTCCCTCGTTGTTGAAACAGCTCCTTATGTCTTTTATGCGCTCTCTCTCTCTCTCTCTCTCTCTCTCTCTCTCTCTCTCTCTCTCTCTCTCTCTCTCTCTCTCTCTCTCTCTCTCTCTCTCCCTCTCCCTCTCTCTCCCTCGTGCCATACATACACACACCCTCCCGAGCTTGAATGACACACACAGACCAATCGAGGGCTTTGATTTATGATTGGTATGGAAGTGGCCATGTCGGCAGGACATATCATGTAGACTTAAGCCCAATCCCAAACCACTCCCTCGACCCTACCCCTCCGTGACGGAGTGAACTCCGTCTGTAGCCACACTCGCAGCTCAACGAGGCTCCCTCCTGTCAGATGGAGGGAGTAAATACAGCGGCAAGCTTTGGGACAAACTCCCCTCTCTCCGGCAGAAACAGGAAATGCCGTAACTGTATGTAACAACGGTTTCAAATCAGCATCTCTTTGACAAAAAATGTAAATTAATAACTCAAATAAAACTCCAAATATCTTTAATTAAAGAACTGGTATGATCCTAAGTTAAAAAAATATATGAGGTTATCATGAGGTTGTTAACATCGCAATTTATCAGTGGATGTTTGCTGGAACTACTTGTAAACAGCGTGTTTCCTGACGATGTTTTTTTGGAATATGAGGAAATGAACTGCGGTATGTCACTCCCAGCTTACACGCCGTTTGATTGGCTAGAGCTTGAACGGTCAGATTTACGTACACAGGATTTGATTGGCTGACGCTTCCACCTCAGCCTCAAAAGTTGAACATTGTTCAACTTTGAATCCTGAAAATCCTGAAAATCTCCGCTCGCCTGCCCACAATGCAGTTCGGCGAAAAGTGAGGGAAAGTGACGTCACCCCATTCAAAGTGAATGGGCAGAAGCGTTTCAAGATTTTTTAACGCTGCTGTGTGGACGGTCCGTAACACAAATACTACAAATCCACATAACAAACAATCAAAAAGGGTCGGCGCTTATTATTATTTATAAAAAAAAAAAGAAATGTAATTATTATTATTTTTTTTGGTACCTGGCTGGCGCCCCCTATCAGCGGCTATATATTTGTATATAGGGGAAACACTGGGGGTGGGGGAGGGATTGCAGTGTTTATTTTATTCATGTGTTTCGATTTAACAAACAGTGTAGCCATAGAAACACACTCCAAAACATAAATCGGCTTCCATCTTATTACACTTTTTCCCTTACCCCTGATGAATGGATCTGAAATGTAACTTCAGACAACCATAGTCAAGTTAAACGCACAATATATCCCTATATAAAGTAACTTAGAAAGTACATATTTAAGTGTATGCACTAAAATATAAACACATTGACTACTGACACTTTATTTTACTGTCCTCGTATCAGAACCTTGGAGCTCAGAGGCAAACTTATGTAGGACAGCATTTTTAACTTGGGGGGGGGGGGGACTTCCAGCTTTCCTCTGCACTGTTCTCGGGGGAAGCTTTCTATTTATGGGGCTGCTGCTGCTTGAAGTGGCATTTTCTCCCCTATAATTGTGCTCTACCCAGAAGATCACATCGATACGCTTTGTTCGCAATCTGCTGCAACTGAAAAGAGCAGTGCAGCACTCACAATGTTTTGGCTTATTGATAACTAATTTACCGGCAGGATTTTAGCTTTTTTAGTTTGTTTTGTAATTTTTGAAAGCACTCAGTGTAAGTCACTTTGGATAAAAGCATCAGCATTAAGAATCATTTGAAATGGCCACTTTTGTCCCCACCAATGTTCCGGAAAAGAGTGTGCCCAAAGAGATGTAATAAATGAGAAAAAATTGGAAAAGGTTTATTTGCACAAGATGTACAATATAGAGAACAGTTTGTTTGTTCACACTTGGTGGGAGTATTTCTGGGAACTCAAGTTGGTGTAATTTGGACATGTGACACTTTTTATATTAGTTAACTTTGAAAAGAAAACTAAACTAAATGAAACGTAAAAAAATTAAAGAAATTAAAAGATAGGTGGAATGACCCCCAGCCTAGGGAAGAGGATTAGGGCCACATGTAAAAACTTTTTTCAAGATCTGACAAAAACTCAGAACTCTGAGACAAAAGTCAGAATTTTTGAGAAAATTAATCTGAATCTTGACTTAAATCTCAGAATTCTGAGAAATAGGGGAGGTTGTGGCTCAGTGGGATAGCAAGTTCAAGTCCCACTGCAGTCAGCATGTCGTTGTGTCCCTGGGCAAGACACTTCTCCCCAAAATTGCTCCTGTGGGGATTGTCCACAGTACTGAATGTATGTATGTCGCTTTGGATAAAAGCGTCTAACAAATGACATGTAATGTAAAAATAAATCAGAAAATGCAGAATTATTCTAAGAATTCAGAGATTAAACTCAGAATTCTGACTCTAATCTCATAATGTTGACTTTAA